CAGTCGTGCCAAAACCCTGGAGCTCGTGTTACGGAATTACTGGTGGCCTGGGATGTCCAAATTTGTCAATGAGTACGTCAGCACCTGCGATGTGTGCAACCGTACCAAGACATTCCCAGCTAAACCCCAGGGTCCGCTGAAGCCGAATGAGATCCCCGAGCGCCTGTGGCAGATCATCACGACCGATATGATCATTGGCTTGCCAAAGTCTGATGGATTCAACTCAATCCTGGTCACCGCCGACCGCTTTATCAAGCAGGTCCACTTTTCAGCCTGTCATGAGACCCTGACGGCAGAAGAGGCAGCAGACCTGTACATCCGCGATGTGTTCATGCATCATGGGGCCCCGGCCAAGGTCATATCAGACCGAGGTCCCCAGTTTGCTTCGAAATACCTGCATGCGGTGTACAAGGGACTAGGGATCGAGCCGGCACTGTTTACAGCATTCCACCCTCAGACGGACGGCCAGACTGAGCGCTGGAATTAGGAGATCGAGCAGTACCTGTGTGCTTTCACGAGCCACAGGCAGGATGATTGGGCAAAGCAGCTGCCGCTCGCGGAATTCGCACTGAACAACCGAGTTCACTCTGCGACCGAGCACTCCCCTTTCTTCCTGCATCAAGGGTACAATCCTGAGATCCAAGTGCGGATCAATCCGATGTCTGCGATGCCTGCGGCCGCTGATTGGCTCAAGATCCTAAAGGAGATTCGTGACGGTACGCGCTCTGCGCTCGAGCTGTCAGCCGAGCGTATGAAAGTGTACTACGATAAGCACGTGCAACAGGCACCGGTCTTCGCACCGGGGGACAAGGTTTGGCTTGACGCTCGGAACCTTAAGCTGAAACAGCCGAGCAAGAAGCTCAGTCCCAAGCGCCTTGGACCATATGCCGTGCGGCAAAAGCTCGGAGACTTAGATTATGAATTAGTCCTGCCAAAGTCGGTGCCGGTGCACCCGGTATTCCATGTCTCCTTGCTCAGCAAGTACACGCATAGCGATATCCCAGGCCGGGAGCCGGAGGAGCCGCCTGCGATCGAGGTTGAGGGCGACGAGGGGTACGAGGTTGAGCGGATCAAAGATTCGCGGATCTTCCGACGTCAGCTGCAGTATCTCGTCAAGTGGAAGGGTTATGACGACTCGCATACGTCATGGGAACTGGCGCGCAACGTTGCCAATGCGCCGGCCCTCATAGCCGACTTCCACTGGAAGAATCCAAACACCCCTCATCGCCTCAACGCTGCTACCTTTGGTGGTCTCAACTTTCAGCCAATGCCTTTGCCGCTGACTGAAGCACGCTGCCACTCCGGGTGGGAGATGGGCAAGGGCACCTCGCATGAGGTCATGCGCCGTTGAGGGGGGGGGTAATGTCACGAGTTGGCACGGCGTCTAGCCGTTTTTTAATTTTTCCTTTTCGCGGGCTCGAACCCATGACCTCTGTACTACTTGCCTGATACGGACACATCACATCTACTGTACAATTAGATTAGATGGGCGGCAGTGCGCGGCACAGCTCGGGCTCCGCTGACACAGCCTCTCTGACTCACCGGCCCCTGGGGCCGCATCAGCATGCTGCGCATGGACCAGCTGTGCACGGACCAGTGCGCACAGCCTGCCCTTATCTCCCCATGTATATAAGCTGGCTTTTGCTGCCCTAGGGACCTCAGTTTCGACCTCTTGTCCCTAGGTCAGTAAGCCCTCAGTTATATTCTTTCTTACCCTACTAACCAATGCATTTACTTGTCCCTAGCCTTAGGTTTGAGCACTGCTCACCATCGCTTTGGTAAGAACCAGTCGGACGCCCCCAGCCTTTAGGTATTCCCCAGTCACTTGACCTCAAGTCGCGACAGACGATCATATTGGTTGTGATGATCTGCCACAGGCGCTCAGGGATCTCGTTCGGCTTCAGCGGACCCTGGGGTTTGGCTGGGAATGTTTTGGTACGATTGCACACGTCGTAGGTGCTTACGTACTCATTGACAAATTTAGACATGCCTGGCCACCAGTAGTTCCGCGATACGAGCTCCAGGGTTTTGGCACGACCGCCATGACCGGCGATCGGCGAGTCGTGGTGGATCTTGACTATGTCCCGCCGGAGCTCCGCATTCTTTGGGACGTACACGCACCCACGGAACAGCAGGAGCCCTTGCTCGGCATTTCACTCCTCAAAACCCCTTTGCAGCCGGGGTGGTCCGAGGTCCTGCACCTTTTCAAGTGCCTCGGCCACCTCCCGATCCTTCTCCGAACACTCCCTGATGCGTTTCAGAAGCGACTGATCAGCTGTCACCGAGGCATGACCGCGTCTGGCGGAGGCGATGCAGAAGCGCTCTGGCTTGAGAACCACCTGATCGGTGTTATCGTCCTCATTGCCGATCTGATGGTCTGATCGACGTGACAGGGCATCAGCCTTTCCATTGGACGTCCCGGCCTTGTGCGTGATGCGGAAGTCGAAGCGAGCTAGGAACAGCGACCATCGCGCTTGACGGCGCGTGAGGTGCTGGGATGTACGCCAGTACTCGAGGTTCTTATGATCGGTTACGATCTCGAACTGATTGGATAACCCCTCGAGGTAGTGGCGCCAATCATCCAGTGCTTCGATGATTGCGAGCATCTCCTTATCGTAGATCTCGTAGTTCAGCTGTGCCGGGTCCATTGCATGGGATCTGAAGGCAATGGGATGCCATTTGCCGTCGTCCTGCTTCTGCATCAACACGCCGCCAGTGGCGTAGCCTGAGGCGTCAACCTCAATGCGCGTCTCTCGATTAGGATCATACAGTGCTAGGACTGGAGTCGTCGCGAAGAGCCGCTTGAGCTCATCGAAGGCGTGCTGCTCTTCCTCGCCCCAATGCCAGGGGTCATTCCCTGTGAGTCAATCGAGTGGTCGCGAGATCTTAGCGAAGTCTTTGATGAAGCGGCGGTAGAAGTTGGAGAACCCCCGGAACTTCTGAACGTCTTTTTTGTTCCGGGGCACCGGCCACTCATTGATTCCTTTCAGCTTCGCGGGATCCATCGCCACCTCATCGCCACCGAACACATAGCCGACGTAGTCGACCTTGGGAATGTCCCACTCGCACTTCTCAGGCTTCAGGAACAGATCATTATCCTG